GTGGGAACCAAGAAAACAGGTTATACCTAACATGATGGGAAAAGGATTGAGAACTCATCGTAGATAAATCGTCTCAGCAGGTGGTTTCAGTGCAGTGCTGCAGTAAAAAGGGCTCTTGAGCACACTGAGAAGTGTCCAGCTCTGGTGTCCCCTCTTCAAGAATTCAGAAATATTGGAGAGAGTTCAAAGGAGCCCCACAAAAATGGTCCAGGGGCTAGAAAATGAGCCTTATGGTGTGACGTTTATGCACATAAGAATGGCCACACTGGGTCAGACCAAAGGTCCATCAAGCCCAGTATCCTGTCTGCCAACAGTGGCCAATGGCAGGTTCCCCAAAGGGAATGGACAGACAGGTTATCATCAAGTGATCCATGCCCTGTCACCCAATCCCAGCTTCTGGCAAACAGAGGCTAGGGACACCATTCCTGCCCATCCTGGCTAATAGCCATCGATGGACCTATCCTCCATGAATTTATCTAGCTCTCTTTTGAACTCTGTTATAGTACTGGCTTTCACAACACCCTCTGGCAAGGAGTTCCAGAGGTTGACAGTGCGTTGCATGAAAAAATACTTTCTTGTGTTTGTTTTAAACCTGCTGCCTATTAATTTCATTTGGTGGCCCCTTGCTCTTGTATTATGAGAGAATAAATAACACTTCCTTGTTTACTTTCTCTATACCACTCACGATTTTATAGACCTCTATCATATCCCCCCTTAGTTGCCTCTTTTCCAAGATGAAAAGTCCCAGTCTTATTAATCTCTCCTCATACAGAAGCCATTCTATACCCCTAATCATTTTCGTTGCCCTTTTCTGAACCTTTTCCAATTCCAATATATCTTTTTTGAGATGGGGTGACCACATCTGAACACAGTATTCAAGGTGTGGGCGTACCATGGATTTATTTAGAGGCATATTTTCTGTCCTATTATTGATCCCTTTCTTAATTATTCACAGCATTCGGTTTGCTTTTTTGACTTCTACTTCACATTGAGTGGATGTTTGCAGAGAACTATCCACAATGACTCCAAGAGCTCTTTCTTGAGTGGTAACAGCTAATTTAGACCCCATCATTTTATATGTACAGCTGGGATTATGTTTTCCAATCTGCATTACTTTGCATTACATTATCAACATTATCAACATTGAATTTCATCTGCCATTTTGTTGCCCAGTCACCCAGTTTTGTGAGATCCTTTTGTAGCTCTTCGCAGTCTGCCTCAGACTTAACTATCATGAGTAGTTTTGTATCATCTGCAAATTTTGCCACCTCACTGTTTACCCCTTTTTCCAGATGGTTTATGAATATGTTAACTAGGACTGGTCCCAGTACAGACCCCTGGGGGACACCACTATTTACCTCTCTTCATTCCAAAAACTGATAATTTATTCCTTCCCTTTGTTTCCTATCTTTTAACCAGTTAAGAAGCTAAATCACAGTTCTCAAGCTTTAGCAACCCAAGGACCCCCATTTTGATTAAAAAATGTTCAGGAACCCCAAGCCCCCCCAGCTCAGCCCTTGGCCCGAGGCCATGTCCCTGCCCTGCCCCTTTTCCAAGGCCCTACACCCACTCACTCCATCCTCCCTCCCTCTGTCACTTGCTCTCCCCCACCCTCACTCACTTTCACCAGGCTGTGGCAGGGGTTGGGGTGAGGGAGGGGATGAGGGTGCTGGCTGGGTGGTATTTACCTTGGGCGGCTCCCAAAAGCGACTGGCATATCTCTCTGGCAGTAGCTCCCAGGTGTGTGCTTGCGGGAGGACAGGGGGTCTCCCACGTGCTGCCCCTGCCCGCAGACACCACCCCCACAGCTCCCATTGGCCACAGTTCCCGGCCAATGGGAGCTGTGGAATCAGCGCTCAGGGCAGCACAAGGAGACCCTTTGGCCCCCCAGGACGTGCCGGCCACTTCTGGGAGCAGTGCGGGGCTCGGGCAGGTAGGAATCCTGCTTTAGCCCCGGTGCGCCACCGGACTTTTAGCGAGCAGGAGGCGCTGGGAGGAAGAGGAGTTGATCAGTGGGCCCTGTGGATCCCCAGGGGTTCCCTTGGGGACCTCCAGGGGTCCTCAGACCCATTTGAGAAATGCTGAGCTAAATCTATTCAGTTTATCAAAGAGAACGTTGAGAGGTGATCATGGCATCTAGGCATGACACATGGATAGGAAATACAACCCCTTCCCCAAATCCCCACCCCACCTCTTCTCCGCCTCCTCCCCTGAGTGTGCCACATCTGTGCTCCTCCCCACTCCCTCCTGGAAAGTCCTAAGCGCCGCCAAACAGCTGTTTGGCGGTGGGAAAGTGCTGGAAGGTAGGCAGAGCAGCAGGAGCCGGGGGTGAGGGGAGTTTGGCGGGCCGCTGGAAATAACTCCTCGGGCCACATGTTTGAGACTCCTGCAATAGCTAGAACCTTGAAATAAGATGCAGCTTTCTCACCATGAATGTGGTTTATTATTAGAATAGTTTATCAAGGGAGGTGGTGAACTCACAAGCACTTGACATCTAAGATGATATTAGATCTTTCTAAAAAGGTATGTTTCAATCCAGCTTCTGGAAGAAATTCTATAGCCTGTCGGGGTGGGTGGAGGGGGAAAAGGGGTGTCAGGCTAAGTGTTCGTGGTGGTCCCATCTGGCCTTGGAGTCTGTGAATCTAAGTCCCCCTGTTCATCTCCTTCCATGTGGAGAACACGACTGACTCCATAATACTCGCAGTGCTGCATTAAGAACATGACTAATATCACATGTTTCTAGGCTTCAGCTGGTCACCTGTAGGGATCAGAAAGGAATTTGTCCCTCACTGCATACTTGGCCACATATGTTCTGGATTTTTTCCCCCATGTTCCTCTGAAGCATCAGAGATTGGCTACAGCTAGAGACAAGACCCTAGAGGGGGCAGAAGCAGTGCTCTGAGGTGGCACAGAGAATCCTTTCTAGATGCCTGGCTGGTGTGTTTTGCTCACATGCTCAGGGTCCAATTGATCACCGCAGGTGGTGTTAGAAAGGAATTTTCCCCCAGGTCACAGTGGCAGGGAGCTGGATTTTTTGTTTTTTTTTGCCTTCCTTTACAACATGGAGTGTGGTTCACCTGCTGGGATGATCTAGGAATCTCTCACCTAATCCATTTCCTGTCACTGCCAGGGCCTTGGGCAGTGGTGGCCACTCAGTCTCTTCTAAAAGAATTAGGAGGACTTGTGGCACCTTCGAGACTAACAAATTTATTTGAGCATAAGCTTTCGTGTGATTTATTTATGATCAAATAAATTTGTTAGTCTAGCATTGTCATAACCATACAGCTAAGGGTAGCCTAGAATTCCTCCTTACTTGCAAGGGGTTAAGAAGCTCAGATAATGTGGTTGGCACCTGACCAAAAGGACCAAAGGGGAAAGAAGATACTTTCAAATCTTGGGGGGGAGGAAGGCTTTGTTTTGTGTGTTCTCTTGGGAAGCAAAGAAGCACCAGGTCAGAAAACTCCTTCTATAAACCATCCTAAAAGTCTCTCATATTACAGAAATTGTAAGTAAAAGCCAGGCAAGGCGTGTTAGATTATCTTTTGTTCTGCTTGTGAATTTTTCCTTTGCTGGAGGGAGGTTTATTCCTGTTTTTTGTAACTTTGAAACTAAGCCTAGAGGAAGTTCTGCTGTGTTTTTGAATCTTTTGTTACCCTGTAAAGTTATTTTCCATCCTGATTTTACAGAGGTAATTTTTACTTTTTTTAAAAAAATAAAATCCTTCTTTTAAGAACCTGACTGATTTCTCTATTGTCCTAAGACCCAGGGGTTTGAGTCTGTGATCACTTGGTAATCAATTAGTTAGGATATTATTCTCAAGCCTCCCCAGGAAAGGGGGTGTAAGGGCTTGGGGGAATAGGAACTCCAAGTGGTCCTTTCCCTGATTCTTTGTTAAATCACTTGGTGATGGCAGTGTACCCTCCAAGGGCAAAGAATTTGTGCCTTGAACAAGTTTTAACCTAAGCTGGTAGAAATAAGCTGAGGCGGTTTTTCATGTGTGTCCCCACATCTGTATCCTAGAGTTCAGAGTGGGGAGGGAACCCTGACAGGCACGCATCTGATGAAGTGGGTTTTAGCCCACGAAAGCTTATGCTCAAATAAATTTGTTAGTCTCGAAGGTGCCACAAGTCCTCCTGTTCTTTTTGCTGATACAGACTAAAATGGCTGCCACTCTGAAATCAGTCTCTGCTGTTCTTGACACAGCTTAGTCTCCTGAGGACTGAAAAGCTTTAGTTTAATGGAAGTTTTTGTGCTGAATATAGTGGTATCCAAGCAAAATGTAATGGCTCATCAGACCCAGGAGGTCAGACTAAATGGTGTAATAATGGTCCCTTCTGGCCTTAAGCTCTGTGAAATAGACCAAGCAGTGGTCAGCACAGCATGCAAGCAGGCAGAGTTCTTCAGAGCCCTTCTTGCTGTGTAGCTAGGTCAGCTGGTGAGCCATCTCTACAAAAACCAGCTGTAGCGTATAGCCGCAGAAATGGAAAAAGGAGGCAACAGGGAGCAGAAAGCAGCCCTGGCTGACATGACAGCATATATGCTGTATCCTGACCCCAACAAGGCAGTTGTCTCCCCTTTGCCCTACAATACTGAAAATGAAACTCTCCAAGATGAATCCCAGCTCCTCTGCTGGGCACCGAGGGAGGAATCTTTCAGAAAAGGGCAGCTTCCTCCAGCCCTCCCAAATGCATTTTCTATGGTCTGTCTAGCTCCTTCAGGCACGGTAGCGCAGAGCACAGATGCTCTACTATACATGCACCCCACACTTCCAGTCCTGCAGGAACAGAAGAGACCAAAGTTCTAAAATTGTGTTCCCAGAGCAAATCTGGGACAGATTAAAGAATTTTGTACTTACCAGCTCCCTTGAGCATGGTGCGGGGAGAAAGATTCCTTGATCAGTAGATAAGGAACTGCAGGAATGAGATTGGTGTTCTTAGTTTGGACTGTTGACAGGGATGCATGTGTACAAAAGAATATGGCTGCCATCAACCACAAGCCCATTCCTTGTTCCAAGACAGAGTCTCTTTATTACAGTGCACTTCTCAGAGAAGTTACAACATGGTTCAAAAACCAAATCCACATTTGGCTTGTATCTGATTCACACTTCACTTCTTCCCCTGCAGTATTTTTATAGATGTACATTTTTGAACATGAATATATGAAACTTTTCTATTAAAAAGACATTTCTGCTTCATTTTCTCAATAGTCCAAGTAGATTTCAAATGGTTAAAAGACTGACAGACATTCTCTCCTTCCACTGGGTCCCCTCCATTTTTTATTATTTTTTTTTTTAAAAGAGGCAAAGGAGTAACTGCACATTCTATTCACTGCAAAGCATTACTATCAATGGAAGAAGAGGGGCACCAGTCTGTTCTTCCACATTGGGACCAAAAGGGATGAGGAGATAGTGGAGACTTCAGGTGAGAATGGCAAACGCAAGTGGCGGAAGAGTACTTTTGACCCACCCAATGACATCAGACACAGTGCAGCGTTTGCCAAACCACATATGTTTTGCTGAAACTGGAATGGATTTTTTGAACATGAGAATTGCTTACACAGCACTAGCCAGGCTGCTCCAGTCTAGTCTCCATGCATGTCCCCCAAATCCCCTTTATCATTAGATTCCTTTCTCCCCCTTGACACCAAATTACTGACGTTCACAGACTGATAGGGTTCCTGCAACAGAGATAACCTAAAGTGGTAGTTAGAATTGATAACCGTACAAGACATCGCTATCCGTTCCAAGGGAGCATAGGATGTTTTGTACAAAGCAGGAGTGGGAGCAGTAATCTCAGAAGCCTCGTTTCCAGCCTGCCGATGGAGATTCTAACTGATACCAGTAACTAAGGTCTTTTGTGAAATAAGTCACTTGGCCTGTCCAGACGTCTGATCCTTCCTCCCAAGCTGAGCTTCTGCCATCCCACAAGAGAGGAATTAGCTAGAGGGGCTAATATATGACTGGAGCTGGGGAAACCTTGATCCAAAGAAGCCCCACAACCCCCCCAAACAAATTACTTTACAATGAGGTATGTTCTACACAGCAGAGTAAATTACACAGTTCCCACCACAGAACACACTGTCTATGCTACTGTTCAACTGAACCAGAAGAGACATCTCGCTTTACAGAAAGTTGCGTGGGTCAGAGGTTTGAAATACTGAGTAACATGCTGGTATATAGTCCTATGGCAACATTCAGAAAGAGTAAAATTATTCTACTGAAAAATGATGAAGGAAGGAGATCAAACTATACACTGCAACAGACTGCACTGATAACGGGGAAAACACAAAACTCGCATGAGACAACTGCAATGATAACCTGGCGTGTAAAACGGAGTTTTCTTGTCCTTCAGTTGCTGAGGGTCCTTTTTCCAATCATGTCCCATTGAATACCCTAAGTTCTGCTTGCTGGTGTAAAAATGCTACGTTCAAAGCTATGGAAGGTAGTGTTTAAAATAGAATACTATTGGTTTTATTTTACAGCATGTTTAAGGCACAGTGTGAGAAAGCTGCTCCCACTCCCAGACGTGCACACCTGTGTGATCTCTCTCCCCCTCTGACACACACATGCACACACACAGCAGAGGCTGGCTGGTTCTGATGAGATGCTCAGGGAATTGATCACTTCTGATTTTTGAGCTGGTTGGAGAGCCAGTCCAATCCCTCATAAAGCCCGTCTCCGCTGGTGGCACATGTTGCTTGGATGTACCAGTTCCTCTGACGAAGGGAATGCAAGCCAAGTTTGTCGGTGATCTCTGCAGCATTCATAGCATTGGGAAGGTCCTAAAGGGAAGTTTAATCACACAGAATGTTATAACTAAAAATGCTTTGCAGCCCCTGAAACACATTAAGATTAAACGTTCAAACTGAACCAAGGCAGGACATTCCAACGCAGTTCTTTAACTAGAGAGCTCTCGGTACGCTGTGGAGCTCTGTCAAAACTACCGAATCCTTGCCAGCTAACTGAGACTGTGTGTGAGAGAGAGACAGCCTCACACACAATCGCTGCCTCCTTCACACATTCACCGTGTCTCTTCACCCCCCCGTCACTGTCTCAGACAGAATCTCTCATAGTCACACCCACACCCCCCATGCCCCTCTTTCTACACACCCCTCCACCCCCCTCCCAACACATACTTGTATTATTGTTGTTGTTACCTCTTGATACTTCCTGCAATGCACACACACTTTCTCTGTAATGTTATTCTTTCAAAGTGCTGCTATTTTAGTGTTTTGGCTGGTCTGTGCATTTCATCATTTTATTTCTCTTATGCTTAAATTTAATCCTTTGAGTAGTGAGTACTAAAATGCCTGTCCTGGCTGGAGTAATTATCCCTATGGTAACTTTTAAAAAAGTATATATTATATCTAGGATTTTTGTTTCTACTTGCGGGACACATCACCTCGATATTGGTGCACATAACAAAATTCATTCTGCATACGGATGGAAAAAATTAGAGGGAACATAGGTGGGGTCCTGCATCAGCCTGCTATCTAAACCCAACTTACTTCAAGTGTTTTAGGGACACCTGAAAGGTTTAGATGAAAGTGAAGCAACTCACTGAAGTCTGCTACGATGGGGAGATGAGCCTATGCCCGACTATGAATTTCAGTATGAACAGGTCTGACTTGTCATTTGGATTTGCTGTGCCTGCCACACTAATGAACTAATGACTCCTACATTCCTAAGCAGGTAGGCAAAATGGCTGGAAGAACCAGCGGGAATGTCAGGCAAGTATTGTAAGGCTGGCATGGATTACAAGCAAATTTTAACTGAAGAGCTGAATGTAGTTGGAAGAATCTAATCTAGACATTGACAGCAGAGTGGGGCAGAGTGACAACAGATCAGCCTTGCAAGAACAACTGAAATTTTACCAGCTCAGGTATAAATACCATTTGCCCACCCTCCTCATGAGGATAATTAAGATGCTAAGGATATTTGCTCCACTAAATTAAGATTTACTCTTCCCAGAGCAGCAAAATTTCAAAAAGGCTGAATTACAAGAAGTCCGAAAACATCAATCTCACCTATGCAGGAGTTCTTCCTCCACCCCACCTAATCTCTCCCAGGCAGAGACTGCACCAGGGCTGTGCACTAGCAAGAACTCATAGGGTACTTCCAGTTTCAGAAGATAAATATTTTCATTCCCCACAGCCAGTTCACTGTCTAGCCTGGAACCTTTTCCTGGTTAGGATCAGAGATTCCAAAGCCAGAAGCAACCATTGTGATCATCTGGTCTGACATCCTGTGTAATACAGGCCCTGGAACTGCTCCACAATAATTCCTTTTGAACTAGAGCAGATCTTGCAGAAGATTTAAAGACTGCCAATGCTGGCAATCACAAGGGCCATCCATGAAGACCTAGAAAAGATAGGGATCAGGAGACACCTCACCTGTTTGTTTACAAACACTAGTAAAACGGCATCCCGGAGCTCGTCTTCTGCCAACATTCTGGTGAGTTCTTCTCTTGCTTCATTCACTCTCTCCCTATCATTGCTGTCCACTACAAAGATTAAGCCTAAGCAGGAGTAAGAGGAGAGATGCAATCAGTGTTCAGTAATAACTAGGTCACATAAGAAGGGCCATACAGAGTCAGACCAATGGTCCATCTAGCCCAGTATCCTCAGACACTGGCCAGATGCTTCAAAGGGAATGAACAGAACATGGCAATTTCAAGTGATCCACCCCAGCTGTCCAGTCCCGGCTTTTGGCAGTTGGGGGTTTAGGGACACCTGGGGCATGGGGTTGTGTCCCTGACTATCTTGGCTATAGTCACTAGTGGGTCTTCCATCACACTTTGACCTAGTTCACATAGAAGGAAAAAATTAGCTAACATGTCCTTTCAATTACACAGCCAAAGATTATGAATTTTCACCTTGTGCAAGGCTAATTCCTCAAGCCTCCACTCCTGGTAAAACCCAAGTAAAGTTGGAGTATTGATAATGTGTCATCCCAGCCAATCTTATTTTAACCAAAGACCCCAATTTCTGAAAGTGTCAAATTGAAACTGACAATTTCTACCGCAGGCTGCAAGAAAAAGCTAACCCTACTGCCTCTTTGTAGGCCTGTTAAAGTAATGCCTACCCTGGGCCATCCACTGTCACAAGCAAAGCCACAGCATCATATGATTCTGGGACAGTTTTGTCTGGACAACCAACCAGCTATTTGGGTCTCCCAATGTTTAAGGCCTAGTAAGCAGAGGCCGTCTAAAACCATCACTGAACAAACTGCCTGTTTTGTCAGCAGTGCATCTTAGAGTAAGCTAAGGAGTAGAGTCTCTGTGCACAGGACTGTAAAACGTGCCTGGCTCACTGCAGTCCAGCAACTTGCTCTGCAGAGCCAAAACCTAAACTCCAACACTTCCACCTTGGTTTGAGCTTGTTTCCAGAGCGAGGTGCTAAAATTCAGCAGAGGGCATCCAGCATCAACTAGATGTGGATCCTTTTCAAGGCCTCCACGCCCACAATCGCTGCACAAATAAAAGCATTTCTTAAATAGGCCATTTTGGAGGTGTGGGCTGTATCGCAGGACACCCTTCACTAAATTACCGGGGACTTACACAAAAGGCTCTATCCAGGCTCTGAACTGCCATGTCAGTCACATTGATTTAACTGTGTGTGGCAGGTAAGAGTGGTTTCAAAAAGTGCTTTAAAACAGAAACCTTAACTATGGAGACCATAGCAGCCACTCCAGAACTAAGTAAAGAATTAAAGAGTGGCACAGAGGGAGAAGTGAAAGACAAGATATAAGACTGACGTTTGTTGGCTTAGAGAAGCCACGGCCGAGGCCTGAACAGTCACATGCACAAGGCTGACAGCATTTAGCCAAGTGACAGTCACAGTATGTATGAGGTTTAAATACGTGTACTTACCTTGTGTGTTCTGGAAATAGTGTCGCCAGAGGGGTCTGATTTTGTCTTGGCCACCCACATCCCAGACTGTGAAGCTTATGTTTTTGTATTCTACAGTCTCCACATTGAAACCTGCATGGGAAGAAAGTCAGAGAACTTCATAGAATCATAGAATATCAGGGTTGGAAGGGACCCCAGAAGGTCATCTAGTCCAACCCCCTGCTCGAAGCAGGACCAATTCCCAGTTAAATCATCCCAGCCAGGGCTTTGTCAAGCCTGACCTTAAAAACCTCGAAAGAAGGAGATTCTACCACCTCCCTAGGTAACACATTCCAGTGTTTCACCACCCTCTTAGTGAAAAAGTTTTTCCTAATATCCAATCTAAACCTCCCCCACTGCAACTTGAGACCATTACTCTTCGTTCTGTCATCTGCTACCATTGAGAACAGTCTAGAGCCATCCTCTTTGGAACCCCCTTTCAGGTACTTGAAAGCAGCTATCAAATCCCCCCTCATTCTTCTCTTCTGCAGGCTAAACAATCCCAGCTCCCTCAGCCTCTCCTCATAAGTCATGTGTTCTAGACCCCTAATCATTTTTGTTGCCCTTCGCTGGACTCTCTCCAATTTATCCACATCCTTCTTGTAGTGTGGGGCCCAAAACTGGACACAGTACTCCACATGAGGCCTCACCAATGTCGAACAGAGGGGAATGATCACGTCTCTTGATCTGCTCGCTATGCCCCTACCTATACATCCCAAAATGCCATTGGCCTTCTTGGCAACAAGGGCACACTGCTGACTCATATCCAGCTTCTCGTCCACGGTCACCCCTAGGTCCTTTTCCGCAGAACTGCTGCCTAGCCATTCGGTCCCTAGTCTGTAGCGGTGCATTGGATTCTTCCGTCCTAAGTGCAGGACCCTGCACTTATCCTTATTGAACCTCATCAGATTTCTTTTGGCCCAATCCTCCAATTTGTCTAGGACCTTCTGTATCCTATCCCTCTCCTCCAGCATATCTACCACTCCTCCCAGTTTAGTATCATCCGCAAATTTGCTGAGAGTGCAATCCACACCATCCTCCAGATCATTTATGAAGATATTGAACAAAACCGGCCCCAGGACTGACCCTTGGGGCACTCCACTTGATACCGGCTGCCAACTAGACATGGAGCCATTGATCACTACCCGTTGAGCCCGACAATCTAGCCAGCTTTCTACCCACCTTATAGTGCATTCTTCCAGCCCATACTTCCTTAACTTGCTGACAAGAATACTGTGGGAGACTGTGTGTCAAAAGCTTTGCTAAAGTCAAGAAACAATACATCCACTGCTTTCCCTTCATCCACAGAACCAGTAATCTCATCATAAAAGGCGATTAGATTAGTCAGGCATGACCTTCCCTTAGGAAGGAAGAATCCCATGCACCGCTACAGACTGAGGACCGGCTGGCTAAGCAGCAGTTCTGCAGAAGAGGACCTGGGAATTACAGTGGATGAAAAGCTGGCTATGAGTCAGCAGTGTGCCCTTGTTGCCAAGAAGGCCAACAGCATATTGGGCTGCATTAGTAGGAGCATTGCCAGCAGATTGAGGGACGTGATTATTCTCCTCTACTCATCACTGGTGAGGCCACATCTGGAGTACTGCATCCAGTTTTGGACCCCCCCGCCCCACTCAGAAGGGATGTGGACAAATTGGAGAGTCCAGTAGAGGGCAATGAAAATGATTAGGGGGCTGGGGCACATGACTTACGAGGAGAACCTGAAGGAACTGGGCTTGTTTAGTCTGCAGAAGAGAAGAATGAGGGGGGATTTGATAGCAGCCTTCAACTACCCGAAGGGGGGTTCCAAAGAAGATAGAGCTCAGTTGTTCAGTGGTGGCAGATGACAGAACAAGAAGCAATGGTCTCAAGTTGCAGTGGGGGAGGTCTAGGTTGGATATTAGGAAACACTATTTCACTAGGAGGGTGGTGAAGCACTGGAATGGGTTACCTAGGGAGGTGGTGCTGGAATCTCCCTGCTTAGAGGTTTTTAAGGCCCGGTTTGATAAAGCCCTTGCTGGGATGATTTAGTTGTCGTTGGTCCTGCTTTGAGCAGGGGATGGGACTAGATGACCTCCTGAGGTCTCTTCCAATGCTAATAGTCTATGAAATGATCACTTAGATGGTCATAAGTGTTTTTTTGGTGTATTACTTATGAATTTCAAAGTGTTTGTTGTGGGAGTATTTATCAGTTACATTTTCACTGTCTCTGCCGGACTTCTGAAATGATTTTTTATTGCTCAACATAATCAACCATCCTAGGGGAAGATTTCCTCTTCAAAAGTACAGTTTTATTAGGACTTTATGAATTTTAACATTAAATTTTTTTCCCCAAGCTGTTTGGTATGTTGCTAGAGATAGGGTGTTAGATAGATTTATATAATCCTTATGATTTATTATTTCCCCTGTCAAACTGGGTTTAGAATAAGTTATATATTTAAACAGTGAGACAAACGGCTGTAGGAGGAATCTTTCACTGACCTTTAAAACAAAAACCCTGCACTGAGTAATAGAGTGACTTTTTAAAAAAAAACCAAAACATTTTGTTTCGATAGTCTAGGTTAGACGAAGGGAATTGAACACTTATTTGCAATATCTACAGCTTCATCATCTGCCGGTCCCATCAGCAGAGCTGTAACTAAACAGACAAATTACCTGAGTATATTTAAAGAAAAAGAAAAAAAAAGAAAAAACCCCCATCACCCAGAGAAACCATGGAGGAGTTCATAAGCATGAAGAGCAAATTCCAGCCAGACTCCATCGATGAAAAGTGTGTTTGGTTCATTCATGGAACAATTTTTCCCTTTAGTCTTGTTTTAGAACAAACATTTAATTGACATGATTCAATCATTATGACCAGGCTACACTCCACCCGGCAGAGCTGGAAGGTTGCTGGATACACTGAGAAGGAAGTGTGCAAAACATGTTAATATGAAATTCGTTAATCTGAATCTTGATGGGTGGAGCAATGTGCAGAAGATGGGGTTGTTTCTATAAGATAAACAACTGATACATCAGGAAGTGCCCATATAGCAGATTTAGTAGTGAAAGCTATAACTAACTGTGAACAAAAATTCAAACGTCAAGTGCATAGCTTTGTCATGCTGCAAATGTAGCACAGAGGAAAAGAAATCTAGACAAAGAGAATGAAGGGAACCTGAAACTTATACTAAAAAGGGTGCTGTGCTCATTTGATGCATCTTTTAAAGTTAAGAACAACTCCAGGAATAAAGGAAAACATTTTTGAAATTGAAAAACACTTCCACTTTGCTTCAGCTTCCCTGGAGAGAGGAGGATCTAAACTCATTCTCTTCCAAGATGTATGATGGAATTCAGTGAGTGACTTTTGAGCTATTTATTAAGAACTGGCCTATTCTAATAATTTGTGAAGAAAATGGAGACAAAAAGAGGAAACTATTGCAGCCAAAGTAGTCAACATTGGGCTAAAGAGAAATGCAGAAGATATGCTGAATAGCTTGAAACCTATTTCCATAGCCCGGAACAAACTGCAGAAAGATTGCTACTCTGCTGCTGATGCTGTTGAAATTTGCAAAGAACTTCAAGAGCCAGTGAAGAAAGACAGAGGCACCAACAGAGTTCAGCAGCAGGCAATAAAGAAGCAGGTGGATCACGCATTTGCTCCACCTCATTTAGATGCCTAGCTGCTTCAGAAGAACCTGCTGCTATGAAAGGGGAATCTAATAATCACCTCTGTCATACCAACCATAACAGAGATCAGGGCTAGAGGGGACCATCCAAGCAGTAGGTGTTGGCTGATGTTTTAAAAAAAGTCACACCACTGAACTGGTGGAAGTCACTAGCTAAGCACCTGGAACCAGAGTTTGTTGAAGGGCTAAACCAGCTTCTGACAGCAATTGCCTCTTTTGTAGGCACAGAACGAATTTTTTTTTTTTTTTTTTTTTTTTTAGACTAATTCATTCAAAGTTGAGAAATCAACTGGGAGATGAAAAAACAAGAAAGCTTGTATCTCTTCCAGACTACAAATGAAAATGAGGGGATGAGATCTGGTTGTTTTAAATTTTGAAGAACAGCCTAAATAACTTAGGAGATGGTTGTCTCATTTCCAAAACATTTAATGTTGTTTTGTTTAATAAAATTCCAGTTGCCATCCTAATGCTGCTTGACAAAAATCATGAGGAAAGTTAATTATCTAATAAGCAGTATATCATTTACCATTTTCTAACATACTAAAATTGTATAATTAATAAGAAGCTGAAAATAGTAAGCTATATAATTGCTTAAATAAATGTATACAGGGTACCCTCCTACGTAGCAAAAAGATTTACCAAATCCTGCGTAAAGGCTCTATTTAGTTGTACATCAACATGTTTTAATGATTATATAAACCAGTGAGAATGCACCTTTCTTTGAAAAATAAAGTACAACTGGAAAAGATGATTAAAATTGATGCTTTCCACTTGGTGATTTAAATTGCCTTGTTTTAAAATCAATCCACCCTGGCCCAAGGTAGGGATGTAAATATTGGTTAAAAAAGTTCACCGGTTAAATGATTAAAATTATATCATTTAACTGGTTAACTGATGTCATTCCATGGCAGGCCAGAGTGGGGCAGCAGGGGCTAGGGTCCTGCTGAGACCAGGGCCCCGCCAGGCTGCACACCGTGGCCTGGGTTGCTCTGGCCTGGCTTCTCCGGGCTGTGCCCATGCTCCGTGGCTCCCGCATGGGATAACGGTTAAGGTCCGGTTAACAGTAAGCCTAATGCTTACCAGTTAACCTTTTACATCCCTAGCCCAAGGTTAGGGTCTGGACAGAATTGGGAACAGAACCCATATCTCCCATTTCCTAATCCCCAGTCTGAACCATTAGACCATATTGTCTCTTTGTAAATTTCAGTCCATGCATCCCATTAATCAAACAAACATTTAACAACAGTGTTAGGACAAGAGGTTTTCTGCTCCTTTTAGAATCAGGGATCATTACAGTGAAGTTAGAGAAGTGCTTTAACTCTCTACTCTAATACCAGGTTTTTCTGGCCACTCTCAACCCACACTACATGACCTGTTATAAGTCACAACTGTGCTCACAAACTGGTGCGTCAGAAAGTCCTTGTGAATCACTGATTACGTTCCCTTACTGCACAAATCTAATGGAGTCTGTATATTAGTAAAACCTACCTATTGTTGGGATGGTGGTCACAATTTCCCCCAGCTTAAGTTTGTAAAGGATGGTGGTTTTTCCTGCTGCATCCAGACCTACCATGAGAATTCGCATTTCTTTCTTCCCAAAGAGGTTTTTAAACAGTTTTTCAAAGACGTTCCCCATTGTAGTTGGTTATGTTCTCTGTTAAGAAAAAAAGACTGATTTAGCACCTCCACATGCCTGTGTTGTGCAGGAGTGAATCTCTGTATAGGTGTCCCATCTAAGGAGAATTCCTGCTTACATGCAATCCCAGAATGATTCTTAATCACCAAATACAGATTCACAGGATTAATGATTGCATCTCTTCTCCACCCCTGCTGTATTAGGAAGAGTGCCTGAGACATAAGCCCTTGTATGAGGCAGGACTTGCTCACAGAATTTGGCAAGAACAGGGCTGATATTGTAGAAATACACATTCCTAAGAAGTGCTAGTCAGAGTACTCATGCAAACACAGCCCGATATCAAGTGGTACCAGAATTCCCCCGATATCAAGGATGGTACAAAAACATTCCCCAAGGAACACAATGACCCCTCCTAAAAAAGAAGGTCAGGATGACAGTACATAGAGATGTTTTGATCGAACATGTACAAGATGATGGTGAGAACTATTGATGTAAGGAGTCAGTAACTATGTCAAAAGAGCAGTACTAACTTGTTTGTATCAGCGTATAAAAATGTGTCTCTGGCCAGCTGAGGGGGGCAGTGGAAAGTCCTGAGATTCACTATGCTGTGTCCATTGTCACAGGCATACAGGTCTTAGTATCCTCGTAGAGTCTGCCAGGTGCTGCTATTACCGTGCTTCGTCAACAGTAAACCTGGCCAGGTGCCTTCGCTTAAAACCGAGTCTATGGATTTACCGGGCAGTTTAACTGAGCTCTGCTGTCTGTGCGGAGCTGAGACAGCACAAAGAACACACCTGCAGCCAACATCTAACCACACCCGCAATGGGTCTGCTCATTGCCTTATTAGATTGAAAACAGGTGCACAGCACCCTACCTGTAAAGCAGTGAACGGCCACGTACAGCCACTGTATTCAACTACCATAAGGAGAAAGCTGAGCAAATGCAGGGTTTTAATCACTGGTTGATTTCAACATACAATTTCTGCTCAACCAAGTGAGAGCACATATTATGCGTGTGTGTGTTTAATTCAGAACACTAGAATAAGGGGGAAGATCTAAGGCTCCTCTTGAGTGATCAGCTGAGACTTGTGCTGCAAAATGTAGGTACGCCTTGGAATTAAACATCTCCCTTCCCCCGCTGCACCACAGAGTATGCTGTGACCCTATTTGCATATGTGTTTTCAGAGAGCTTCCTAAAAAGTTTCAAACTACATTCCTACTCATTGCAATACCGCAAGAGTCAGCTTCAGGAGTCCCAGCGGGGAGAGGATTCCAGGAATCATGCATTTCTCCACTATGTATTCAGACAAGATTAGCAGCTGTCCCAGGCAGTCAGTAGTAACCGACATTTCAGAGTGCTAATCAAACTGATTTTTATTTAAACTAACCCCCCTTGGCAACTCTATGCATAGAAGCTTGGTATGACAGGGAATGAGCATTAATGTTCTAGCCTGAAAGCTGTGATTTCCAGGCCTTCATGGGTAGTGCATGACTAGTATTTCTGAACTCTAGAGACAATGAAAGATCACTCTTAGGAGAGTGAATTTGTGTGGGGGGGTGGAGGGTGAGAAAACCTGGATTTGTGCTGGAAATGGCCCAACCTGATGATCACTTTAGATAAGCTATTACCAGCAGGACAGTGGGGTGGGAGGAGGTATTGTTTCATATTCTCTGTGTATATATAAAGTCTGCTGCAGTTTCCACGGAATGCATCTGATGAAGTGAGCTGTAGCTCACGAAAGCTCATGCTCAAATAAATTGGTTAGTCTCTAAGGTGCCACAAGTACTCCTTTTCTTTTTGCGAATACAGACTAACACGGCTGTTACTCTGAAACCTATCTTTGGGGACTGAGAAAGGACAATGGTGAATGAAACCAAGGCAGATGACTCAGGGCCTTCTGCAGAGCTAGAATCTGGTGGTTTAGTCTGCCACAAGAGGAGGGTCCTGCAGTATTCAGAGAAATCAAGCATGGCTGGCAGGAGAGGTAAGGCTTAGTAAATGAAAACAGCAAATCTACTGTTTGGGATGCTATTGATTCTGAAGGGAGAGAGGGAGAAAGCAAGGAAAGGGAAAAGCGGTAGATCCTTATCTGGCTTGTAACTTCGCTGCTAGCTCAAACTAAACTAAACCTCATGTTACATTTTGGAGTGTGCATCCCACCCGAGACTGTGGGAGAAACTACAAAATCCACCAGGTACAAATTAAAACTCTGACAAAAACATGACCTGTAGGAGGAAGAGCAGCCAGGGGAAACAGTCAGGCAGGTGGCAATGGGCCTACAGCCTCACCCCATTATCTAGTTTAGCCAGATACAAACTGAAGTTATCACCCATCTGAAACACTGATCATCTCAGCTTGATTCCTAGTAGGTCAAGAGCCCATATCACAAGCAGCCACCAGAACTGGAACCCTGGACAGGCTCAGCCTAAAATCCAATCAGCAAATGATCAGGCTCATGTAACTCCTCATGATCATCCCCCTCTTGGTATAGGAGGCAGCACAATGCAGGGCAGTTACTGCCAGTGCTGTTCCAGGTTTAGTGCATGGAGAGTTGTTTTATAAAACAAAAGGCTGGTGCCCTCCATAGGAGACTAAAGTCAGCATCCATCTGACGAGTGCAACTGACTACAGTCCAAGAGAAACTGAACAGTAGCACAAGCAGGTGCTGTAGGTGGGACTGTAAGTCTGAGCTCTAGATGATCTCATGTAAGGGGAAGACAGCAATCCAGTTTATGATGAATCAGAATGAAGACCAAGATGGCTGGAAAACAAGAAGCTATTCAAGCAAGTTAGAATGTTATTAAAAGGGGAAGCCATATTAAGGATGAAAATATAAAATAAACCCATAAAACTAAAGACATTGTTAGAGGCTGTTGTGGCACCTTGACTTTGCAATGTCTAATCATTGCATGCTAGGGGTGCTATTACCAGTACCTACAGCAGTAGAGAGACCATCACCGGATGTGTGTCCATGCTTTACAAAGGAGGTTGCCAAACTCTGCACAAATTCTACTCCTTAGCTGACCTGGAGATGAACTCCTGCCAAAAGAAGGCTGTTTGTTCTCCAGGATGGTTTTGGACCGCCCCTCTTCTTACAAGACTTTCCTCCACTTCTCCAGAAACTTTGTAGGAGCAGCAGAGCTTGACTGTGAGCTATTGGCAGCTTCCATTCTGGTTTGTAGTTCATGGCTTTTGAGTACATCCCAACCCTGGGACTCTGCATTCCCCCTCCACAGTTCATGCTGGGCCCTTACGGGGGAAAAATTCCTCTTCACACAAACAGAAGCTTAGACTATATCTATCAGGCCAAGGACCAATACTCATCTATCCCCAGCAGCTGACTCAACAAGGAAGAGAAGCAGAGACTATCCCTTAGTTTAGAGACGATTTAATACTTTTGAGCAAGTTAGGATGAGCCAAAAAGCATTAAAGTTTGATTTTCTACAAAAAGACACTTTTTGGTGGAACCCATTCTTTAAAAGGAGCACTGAGTTACTATCCTAAATTAAAGGAGTACTTGTGGCACCTTAGAGACTAACCAATTTATTTGAAAAGGAGTACTTGTGGCACCAGCAGGAGAGTGAATGTGTGTGTGTGGGGGGGGGAGGGTGAGAAAACCTGGATTTGTGCTGGAAATGGCCCAACTTGATGATCACTTTAGATAAGCTATTACCAGCAGGACAGTGGGGTGGGAGGAGGTATTGTTTCATATTCTCTGTGTGTATATAAAGTCTGCTGCAGTTTCCACGGTATGCATCCGATGAAGTGAGCTGTAGCTCACGAAAGCTCATGCTCAAATAAATTGGTTAGTCTCTAAGGTGCCACAAGTACTCCTTTTCTTTTTGCGAATACAGACTAACACGGCTGTTACTCTGAAACCTATCCTAAATTAGTAAGACCTCAGACACTGGAGTGCTAATGTTCTGTACCACCAAAATCCCACTGTGAGCTGTGCACAACGTAAGGCGGTTATCGGTCTTTCATAACTGTTGTTCTTAGAGCGGTGTTGCTCGTGGCCATTCCAAGTAGGTGTGTGCGGGCCACATGCTTAGGAGCCAGAAGGTTTTTTTCCCCCGTGGTATCTATCAGGTTGGTCCAGGCACCCCCTGGAGTTGCGCCCTCATGGTGCTGCATTTTGGGCCCTGGCAACCCACTGCCTCTTCAGTTGCTTCTTGCTGGCACGGCTCCGACAGTGGGGAGGCAGGTGGGTCTTGGAATGGCCGTGAGCAACACATCTTGAAGAACAACAGTTACCGAAGGTAAGTAACCATCCTTTCTTCAAGTAGGTAACTCCCAAGCAGACCGCAGGAGGAGGGATCGGATTGCACTGAATCGCTGATTGAAGCACCACCCTGCCGAATGCTGTATAATCCCAGGCTTGTTGAGTGATGGCATAATGTGAGGTGAACGTGTGAATCGACGACCATGTCATGGCTCTGCAAATCTCCTGTATAGGGACATGTGCCAGGAATACAGCTGAGGAGGCCTGCACCCTCGTGGACTGCATTGACAGCACATGGGCTGGTATACAGAATGTTCAAATGCAGAATGTGATCCACAATGAAATTCTCTGCGATGAAACCAAGAGGCCCTTCATCCTGTCTGCTATTACGGTAAAGAGTTGGTTTGATTTACGAAATGGGTTTATCCTTTTGATATAGAAAGCCAATTCCCATCTGATGTCTAGGGAATGGAGCCTTTGCACCCGGCTGTTGGCATGTGGCTCAGGGTAGAACACTGGGAGGAAAACGTCCTGGCTTGTTTGAAACTGAAATACGACCTTAGGCAGAAAGGCTGGATGAGGCCACAACTGGGCCTTGTCCTTACAGAACACTCTATATGGAGGTTCAGATGTTAAGGCCTTGAGCTCAGACACCCTCCTGGCTGAAGTTATCATGACTAGGAATGCCACATTCCATGAGAGGCAGAGGAGCGAGCATGTTGCTACGGGCTCAAAGAGGGCCCTATTAGCCTGGAAAACACCAGCTTAAGGTCCCATGCCAGTACTGGATGGTGAA